GGTCAGACATTTACCAGTTACTTGTTTGGCCATATTTTGCACACCCACGATCCGAAACGCTTGCTTGATTCATCGATGAGACTTTTGTAACTGCATTTTGTTTGCTTTTTGTAAAGTTTTTTCAAGAGTATTAATTAATGACCTTGGAAGGATAATGGGATTGTGCATCTCATCTGGTAATGATCCGATGTTCTCTAGTCTCCCATATGCACATAAAACACCTTGTTTATCTGATGCTGGAATCAGCTTCTTGTCTACAGTATATACCTTGATTGTCTGTTAACTCCATTTGAATAACCACAGTTTAGATTCTCTCAATTCTTCTGTAAAATGGTGTCTCTTTTTTTATTTTCAACCTTGTGTTGTTGGTGAATCGTAGAACGTAGGCCAAAGTTTTCCTTGCCTTGGCGAACGTCAAACAAGATTTCATCAAATATTCCAAAATATGGTTTCCTTTTGACTCCATTGATGTAGCTGAGCAATCTACTTGTTTTAGGGTGTTCACAGCTTTGAAGTTGTTGAGCGGCTTCATTTCCTCTGACAATTCTTCACCACATCCCTTGGGATTCTCTTTAAACTTGGGTGATTCTTCTTCTAGGCATTTCAGGAATGGAGGACCTTCATACCAGGTCTTCAACTTTTCTAGCTGAGTTCCTCTCATCAGGATTATGATCATATCTGATGTATTTACACGCTTCAGAGCCCATTGTTTTTACTGGATTTCAGCTACTCTTACCAAAACAAACAGTCTTGGAGAGGTTTTACGCCGGGTTAACATGGTCTGAGAATCAATCCAGAACTCTTTCTTGCAATTGCTGATCTCAGCAAATTCTAGTGCTTCTTTACATGTACTGTATAATCTTGCAATTGAGAAGCACCCCGTCAACTCCAAGCATGGTATTGACTTTTTCTTTGAAGGGGCAACAAATGCTTTAACCATGTGCAATATGCAGGAATAACTGCCATCTGTGAGTTTCCATCTGAGGAATATGGCTGAACCATAGGCTTTCTCTCCTCTGGCAATCCAACAACTCAATGCATTTCTCGTTTTTGGCTGAGAAATGCATTTCTGTAGTCAGTTGTTTGTATATTATTTAGGGTGAGGTTGGAATTGATGATTACTCGCACTTTTGTAATGCATCTGATCCTGTCCAAATTTTCTTCCTAAATTGAGGCAGTTCACCATACTGACAACCATGTCGAAAAAAATCGAGCATGGGTCATGGATAATGTATTCCTTTTAACAGGCTGAGCTTGTGGTGGTGGTTCATATGGCCTTTTTTTATTCTATAAAACCTAGTTTATGTTAGCTTTATGTTTTCCTCTCTCTTTATATTGTGAAAAAATTTGGAAAGATCAAATGAGATAAAACTGAGTGGTAAATAGATACATCCACCTAGCAACATGTCAATAGACTGTTGTGTGACAGACTGCATCATTAGAGATGCACAGATACTTTAGATCGGATGCATTCATGATGTTGGAGGTATTTATATTTTAAACTTGCTAGACCGTGCAGCAATACATTTTTGTTACTTTCCTTAATTGTTCTGTAGTCTGATGTTAAATTAGTAACTGTAGTTGTTTGTACATGTTTTAAAATCAGCAACACAAGCCTCTCTTGACAAAACTCAGAAAGTATTACTTTAATCTGTCAGAATTTTTCCTTTCAATAATTAGCTTTGTGTAACTGTTGTTGAAGAAATTTCACAGTTGTTTTGCTAGAGATATATTTCAAATAAATTAGTAACTGAGAAGATGAAACTTGAGTGCAAGTAACAAACTGTTAATACTTTAAATGGCCTCTGCTTCTCATCTCTTCCCTTTTAGCTATTGTGAAATTTTGATGGTGACAATGGTGGTCATAGTGTTACTGTTGGCTGCTGTATTGTTTTAATGCTCTGAGGGCGTCTAAATCTTTCAAAAGGTGTTGGTAAGGAATGGTGGACCAAAAAAAGTTAAATTTAATTTTGGTCATTTCTCATAATTTTACGACCATTCCTTTTCTTGTTATTACCTCATTGAATTGGAAAGTTCAAGCAGTGGCAGAGAACCTTAATAGCAGAATCTAGTTGTCCTGTACACATGCTACCTAAATGGACCCTCTGATGTTGCCTCTTGCCACAAAACTTGTCATCTGACAAAGCCTACCCATTGCCAATTTTTGATGAAAGCTGTTGTTGTACTTTGATGCAAGCTTGTGGTACAAACAGTGCAGTGAGGTGACAGTGGATTTATTTTCTTTCGATGACTAGCCATGCCACTAAAGTGACCAGTTATCAGTGTTGCACTATTAGAAACCAGAGAGCTACAGTCTTTCACCTTTACACAGAGCGTGTTTTCTTTGAGTTGTGAGGAGGGTTAAGGTGGTTTTTGCATTGGCTTTGTGTAGTTTTTCAGAACATTTCAATCCGCAATGAACGTGTTTCAATGTTCTCTGTTTTGTTTCCAGGAAAGATACATCTGTGACCTCAGCAGTTAGGAGACCAAAGCAATTTGCTGTCTATACCTTCCCCAACAAGTTGTCATCAAAAGAGCTCCTAATTACCAAAAATATTACCCCAATGGAACTCTGTGCTGAGTACTGGAAATTCTTCATCTCATGAAAACCAAAATATGTTTGCAGATTAGCCAATGATGAGAAATTTGCATTTCAGACTTTCTCTTTGACAAGCCAGTATGCTGCGCTACATGCCTTAAACATGAGGTCATTTCTGTGGAGTTTCTTTTCCTGCACTTTTTTTTAATGTAATGTAGAGTTCACAATTTTTGTTAACAAAATATAGAGACTTGTCCCTGTATTTCAGACTCAATGGGATCTTTGTGTTGCTGGATCATCTCGTAAACTGTGAACATTTTGTGTTGCTTGCATAAGACGCAAAACATTCCTTCTCCTTCTTGCAAGTGTTTAGGCTCTTCTGGAACAACCAGTTGTCCAAAAATCTGTCCTGTCCAGACCTAAGCTGAGATTTTTTGTGAGTTGATAGGTACTAGAAATGGTCTCTAGCATACTTGTAGAAGTTGTATATGATAATGTCTGTTGAAAGGGAAAATAGTATTTCAACTTCTTTCATAGTCAGAGGTGTGTCTGAAGGTGATTTCTCTAGGTTTTGCATCACCTCTTTTGTTTGTAATATTGTCATACTTCCCTCCCTTGGTTATTGAGGAAACTATCAGTTCATATGCAATCCAACTTTGAATCATCTTCACTTGCTTTGCACTGACATAAGCTGTTCTCTGAAAGTTTCCTCAGCTCAACATGCCTTACCTCTCACCCCTCTATTTTCACTGTAGTTAGTTCTTGGTGATACTTCTGGAATAGCTGCTCTGTGTGCTAAGACACTACATTTGCCCATTTTCTGAAGTGTTTGGGAGACCATTGAGGAGTGAAGTATAGCATATGCCCCAAGTTGCTATCAACTTCAAAGAACTGTTTATCTGTAATATTAGGTTGATTAAACAAAGAAACATTGTCTGTAAAGCAACCTCGCTGCATGAACTACCATGAACTAACTTCTGTGGCCTCTGATCACTTTTCATCTCCTCTTGGTACTTGCTTTTATGTTGCACTACATCTGCACTAAGCAGATCTTGAAGTCTGTAACCCTCTTCAGTATATTTGCAAAGAGGGATGTCTAGCGCTTGGAAAAGCTTAACAACAGCAACTGCACCAATATTGAAATGTATCACTTCCAATGTTAATTTCTTTTGAATTTCTCAGCCACACCATCCCATTCAAAGATCTGTTTTGATCCTGTTTCTTGCCATGTAAGCACTTCTGCAGTAACTCATCCTTAATTAGTCTTAGATTCAGGCTTTAGCATGGCGATAACAATGCCTGATATTCTAGAAAAGTCATTTCCATGTGGTTTTGAAGCTTACATTGTTTACGTCCTTGGCTTAGCTTCCACAAGGTGACACGACCATTGTGTAATAAGTACCCTGTCTTTTGCCATTTGTCGCCAGGTTGCTGTGGAAAGATTTCTCAGTTCCAGGTGTAGGCATATTCATTACTGAGTGGAAGTGGCCTAAAATAAGACATTAAGGCTGTATTTAAAAGAAAAATGAAAACAAGTAAAATCTAAATAACTGTATCTTAAGAAGTACATCAAAAGTATTAAAATACATTAAGTGATAATCTAATCTGCAATATCTACTCTAATTTTGCTATGTGTCATATAAAACACTACACCAAAATGAGAAGACTGTATCTTGTTTTAAATGGAAGTAAAGATAAGCATAGTCAAATGTGTAAAGAAAGTGAGCTCCACAGTTTAGCATCACTTTAATGAGAAGTTTTTTTGAGGTATTTGGTCGTTTTACCACTTTCCCCTGATTCCAGGGCAGAGGCGACTAACGACAGGTTAAAAAGACCCTTCTCCACAATGGTATCATGATACCTGTGTCAATGTCAAAGTTATCTTAGCATCCAGAGTAACTATCAGCTCTACTCCACCTATTCATTGGACGTTTGATGGATATCAGTAGCATATACTGTTTGAGAGAAGTGTACCCCTTTATACTTGATCCTTGCTTCTTCCACTGCCTGCTTGCTATTGGGGTTATAACAGTGAGACAAATTGGCTGTTAACCTTGCTAGGAATGGTCTTAGTTGGTATAGTGTATCTGTCTAAGCAGAGTCGCAAGCTGGCATCTAAGAGTTATCATTCAGATGTAAATATTAAATTTTAGGCAACACCTTTGCAGTTTCAGGGATGACAAATAGTGGATGCTCCTGGCAATTATCGAAAGAGTCCCCTTTCATTGAACCAAAAATGTTTATATAGTCTTACTTGACCAGACAACGAAAGAAACAATTGTGTAAAAACCAGCCATTGCACAACCGGATCAATATTTGTTTCTGGGCAACCGAGCTCGAAATAGGTGACTCGAGCTCAAAAGCCTATCCGAGCTCGAGTCACAACTCGACTAGAAGGATCCTGAGCAACCGAGCTCGATATAAGTGACTCGGACCACATTTAGTATCTGGGCAACCGAGCTCGATTCATGTTCACCGTACTCGAATAGCAATTCGAGTACCATTTCAAACCAACCTCGGTTCAACGAGCTCGAAATGCAGTCAATTCGATTCGAGCTCGATTCAACTATATCGTGCTCGATTAAAAAGACGAGCTCGACGAACTCAATCTGCTCTTATCGACCTCAGTTATTTTTATCGAGCTCGGTTTGCCACGTATTCTATCGAGCACGGTTTGCCTCGCATTCTGTAGGTTTCATATTGAGCTCGATTTGATATCGAGCTCGGTTTAATCTTCATTCAGCAAATGAGAGGTAATCTGGTACCAAGACTTGGGAGGGAGCATGGGACGAGCGAGAGTGGCCATGTTTCTGGCAAATTTGTCGAGTTTAGTTCGTGAATTCGGGACTTTTTAGGAGTATGTTTTCGGTCGAATTCGAAAAAAAAGAAGAAGAGTGACAGAAGAAAAGCAAAGAATGATTTCTACTGCTAAGGAGATGAAGGAAATGACACTAAGGTGAGCATTGGCTCTTTACGGGAGGGTGTTCCGAGTTGCTGGTTCATAGTTTGTAGTAACGTTTTGTTCAGTTTCAAACTTAAGCTCAATCCTGGAGTGTACGGTTCTCGGTTATTTTAAATCTCAGTTGTGTAATAAGAAAGTGTCTCCCTCCATTTTACCAACCCCAAGTTTATCCCACAAAAAAGTATACATAACAACATGCAACAATACACACATTCTATTTTTATTATATAAGCTCAATACACTTTCGTGTTTCTATTTTAATTGGTCGTTTGTAACGAGGAAAGGGACAGAACTCTAATGAAATATGAAAATCTTTTGGAGAATATGACAAAAAAAGTCTGAAAAGTAATGTATGTTCATCTCTTGCAATCAAATATTAACTAAAGAAGAATAATAATAACTATACTGAACATATGCATTATCAGAGACCATGGTTGATTGACGACATTTCACGAAATTAAGAAAGTGTGGCGGGCTAATGTGATTGTTAAAAGAAGCTAAATTTTTAAATATAAAATAAACATACAGTTCAAGCTGTGTTTATCAGTGAGAGAAATGTATTTTTGAATCCAGATTGATTAAATGTTGCTAGATGAAGACAGATTTGCCAATTTTGTGAAAAGTGAGTAATTTTCAGGAATTGGTTTGATAGTTGAGAGCAAAGAGGTTTCCATTATTAACAGGTCTTAAAATGTTCGATCCAGTTATGAATGTGTTACTAGATCCACCAAAAAGCCATTAAACAACTGCAACACTTCACTTTTAACAAAATGATCAATGCTTGTTGATCTAACCTTGGTTTTTAAACGGCCTGACCTAGCCCTCTTTATAGACTGCAAAAGCCATAAAGGGGATAAGAGACTTAGATTAAGTGTGATAAACAGTTAAGGAACTAAAGTGCTCCTTTGACTACATGGTATTTGTGGCTAATTTTCAGGAAGCTTAACACTCCTAAGTCTCAATGTGAACAGTTTCCTCAAAGTGAGATTTTTTCCTCAAAAAAATAAAAACAAAACAACAACAACAACAAAACCTCCAAGAGAGAGGACAAAGTCCTTCAAACGAGGAGCGTATATCACAACATACAAGAAATAGTAATAGCTGACACAAGTAAACCAGGCCATACTGCATGTGCAACACTAACCCTATAACTCCCATGAGTGACCAAGACAGAATTTCTCCTTACGATAGTAACAAGATAAGTGATGAGAATAAAGAAAAAGATCAATTGGGGGATAATTAGTAGATCCAATACTAAATTCTCTGAACTAACATTAAAAGAATTGTACGGTTGACATTGAATAGAATAACAAATTTGATCTGGGAGTTAAAGGGTTAACTTTTAATTTCAAATCATAACTATTACTGCATAAAAGTAACAACTTGTACATCAGTTTCTGAAAAATTGAAAATCCAAAGGTAAACAAAAACAAAAGTGCAGCTGACCAGGGTCCCTTTAAAATCCTTTTTTTTAACAACTGTCCTCCTTTTCCTTTTTTCTTTTTGCTGTTGTTCTTCTGTCCTTCTTTTTCCTTTTCCTTTCAAGTTTACTACTGGTATGTTCCTTCTCCTCTTCTTCTCTATGTTCCCTCTTTTCCTCTTCTTCTTCATCTTCTACCTTCTCCTCCTCTTCCGTGTTCACTTGTCTTTTGGCCACCAGTACTTCCTGTCCTTCCTCTGGAACAAAAATATAATTTTAGAGGTTGTAGTTGACAAATAATTGTCTTTTTCTTGCTGTTGATTTAAATTATATATTACCCTATTTGTAGGATTCCTAGATAGGACAGAAGTGCTTTATACATTGCCAGTTTAAGTAAGGGCCTAAGCAAAAAGGACCTGTAGGAAACGCCCATAATCCATGGTCCTCGGGGCAATAACACTCCGTAACGCATGTTTTCTAATAGAGTATGATCATTTTGCGTGACTTGCTGATTAATTGCTTTTGGCGTAATGAATTTTGTGATGAAAGACTGCCATTGCCTCATAACACAAGGAGCTGTAATGATATATTATTATGACATAATCCCATAAAATGCAGTAGAATGCCAGTGGATCAACTACTGTCAGGGCTGGCCATTTTTACCAACATTACAATCAGGATCCTTACTAGTAGGTTAAATACTGAGTATTATACTCTTATCTATATGCTTCTTACCTGCTTGCGCAAGAACAATTCCAGGTACTGGGAGCAATTCCTGAAATGAGATAAAAAGAAAAGGGAAGTATGCCACCCACAGGAGTCACGTCTAACTTACTTTTAACAACTAACAACTTAGCCATAGCTCACAATAAAGATCACCAACAGTTAAACCAAGACATGACTGGCTCCAGCCCTTATTCCCCTTAATAGCATGATCATTATTATGAAGAGATAGTTTTATAAATTTAAATATAAAAAAGATAGATACTAATGAAACTTACATGAACTTATCTAATTCCATGACCTCATGTTTCAATGGTAAATCAAAGTGAGACATTCAATACCATTTCTTAAACACTCAGTAAAAGATGTTACTAAGCTAATTACATAAAAACATGATCTCTATTTCATTATGTCTCTAATTAACTTATGTTGATAAGTTGTTTATATAATGTCATGACCTTTATTTAAAACTATGTGGTAATATATACTGTCAGTTGCTCAACCCTGCTGTTGTAAGTATTATTTGATTAGGTGTTAATGTTAGTGTTATGCAGGAGGAAGCCATGACAGTTCTTTTTATTCACGAAAGTTTTTTTGTTTATATGCTATTTGACATGTCTTTTATAAGTACTTCAGCCTAAATGTGTTCAGTTAACATAAGTACTGTCACAAGAGGACCAGTCAAGTAAGTCTGCACCAAGTATTGCTGCTTAGGGAGAGCCTTGTCCCAAGAACCAGTCAGTCTGCCCCAAGTGTCGCGGCTCACGAAGAACCTCGTCCCAAGGGACCGGTCAGTCTGCCCCAAGTGTCGCGGCTCACGAAGAACCTCGTCCCAAGGGACCGGTCAGTCTGCCCCAAGTGTCGCGGCTCACGAAGAACCTCGTCCCAAGGGACCGGTCAGTCTGCCCCAAGTGTCGCGGCTCACGAAGAACCTCGTCCCAAGGGACCTATCAGTCTGCCCCAAGTGTCGCGGCTCACGAAGAACCTCGTCCCAAGGGACCGGTCAGTCTGCCCCAAGTGTCGCGGCTCACGAAGAACCTCGTCCCAAGGGACCTGTCAGTCTGCCCAAAGTGTCGCGGCTCACAAAGAAATTATTATCTTTAAAACTTGAACTTGAACTTGAACTTTAACCGGTCGTCCCAAGGGACTAAAATTTAAAAGTAAAATAGAAAAAAATAAGGAAATTCTGCTTTACATAGATGCCGTGTCAGTCTGCCCCAAGTGTCGCGGCTCACGAAGAACCTCGTCCCAAGGGACAAGTATTCCATATCTGCACCGATAGCCCAAAGTGTCGGAACGTTTGTTTTCAGAGCCTTAGATCACGAAGAACGTCTCGTCCCACTTGTAGTCGGACCTGTCAGTCTGCCCCAAGTGTCGCGGCTCACGAAGAAGACCTCGTCAAAAGGCCAAACGGCTCCAATGCCCGATGCGATTTTCTTGGCTATTTTTTCACCTGTCAGTCTGCCCAAAGTGTCGCGGCTCACAAAGAAATTATTATCTTTAAAACATGACAATGTAACATGCTATTTGTAGGGTTTTGATAATAAAGGCATACCTCCAATAATTTTACGTGACATGTCAATGTGCATTACTTCCCTTACCTCATTTTTATTTCCGGTGTCTCGATCTTCATCTGTTGTGACAATAATTAGTCTTAGTATGCAATATTATATAATTTTATATAATTAATTAGTTAATGGCGAACTGTCATCCGACTGCATGACAGTTCGCCATCATTAATTTTTATGGTAATGTATTTCCCATCCTACTTCGATTTGATAAGATGAGCTAGTTGTTGGGAAAAAATCTGTGAACCAAACACTTTTGAACTTTATATTTTTTATTTCTTTTTAAACTTATGCTATTTGCTGTAATGGCTCAAGCAACACAGGTGATGGTTATTAATTCATGAAATGCAATGAATTGTGTGGTGACCTCTAGACTTAAGCCTGTGAAAAAAGTGTTAATGTAATAAGCCTGTCAACACATAACATGATATATGATAGTGTTGATTTTTGGAATTTAAAGGCAATTTCTTGTGAAATTTGTTAAGAAACATGTTTTCCTTGTATTTAGGAACATTGTTAAGTCCTCATCTTTATCTCAATTTCAGCTTATTATCTCTGAGAAATGCAGGTTACCTGCAATTTCCTTTTGGATTGCATTAACCCATGTTAAGACTGGGCCTGCTTTTCTTGTCTGGTCTTAATATACTTCATCATGATCTTAGTTACATGTCTTCATACTTTGCTTCCTTTTGTCCAGTGTCATTTGAAGGTACTTCATTTTTATTCTTCAAACTGTTTTTTCATTTTCTTTTAATTATTTTTTGATATAATATTTGTATTCATCACCTGGTAGTGTGGATGACAGTTCGCCATCAGACTGCAAATCTGGGACATTTCCTTGGAATGTCACCTGTGGTAAAAATAAGGAAGGCCATTAACTGACCCAGAAGTAACAAGTCTGATTTCCTCACCATTAGCAACTTCAAAATTAATGCTTAACCCTATGAATAAAACTAGCTCATAACCCAAACTGTTAACCTGGGCATACAAAATGGATTGTCAAAAAGAGTAATGACCTAATTGAAAACATTACACTGGGTTGAAAAAGGTAGAATTACATATATGCTTAATTGGATTGATTGATTAATTCTGCAGCATTTGAGACATAAGCTCTTAAAAATAAATGAACAAATAAATCTTCTAACAGGTGACAGAGATAATTTTGAAACAATTTTATAAAAAAAGAATCATCAGTAGTTTTATCCATTACAAGTAGTGTACACCAGCAGTTGTGGATACCAGCAGTAAATTGCCAGGCACAAAAGACTGAAGTGATGATTCTAATTGCTTGGTTTACTTTTTCAACGATACACTTCCTTTTTTTCTGTGTTGATCACTTGTGCCATGTTGCTTCATATCAGCATACACCTATAGGCAGATAATTTACTGTAAATTGGCCAATTCAAGCATGCACTTTACTTATGTTGCATAGATAATTTTACTGAATGTAATTATTTTTTCCTAACCTTTGATCCCAGAAGTGATTCAATTTCTGCCTCATCCTCGATAAAAAGGATAAAAACAACATGTTAACAGAATCAAGACAAGGTTTGATACTTAAATTACACAGTTTAAGGTATTTAACAGGGCGGCTGTTTGAACATTTTACCATAGTGACTTTTAAATCTTGCGCAGGTAAATTGGTGGATATGCAAACAATGAATTTGGTTGATTTACTTCACACCTCATGTGTAAACTTGGCTTGGCCTAGGGTGCACAATTAAGTTGCCTCTTAAATGGAAATTTATGATACAATCGGAAATCATCCATGTAAACTACCTGCAGTAATAAACTAGATTTCTAGCATAATATACATGCAGTTTTCAGAAAATATCCATTGCCACCCAAGGGATTAATCCAAATCAGGATTGGGGTTGGGGTCTGCAAAAAAACGAGCATTTAAATGTTCTTTAATCAGTCATCATCATATTACCTGAGTCAACATTTACTGGGTTACTAGCTAAATAGCTTCTGTCGAGTTCATTGTCATTGACTTCATCTAAAGCAATGACACCATCTGTTCAAAAAACAACACAACACAGTTTCAGGTGTATCACACGATAATTATCTACGGCAGATGGGTCAACTGCTTCCACACAAGATGCAAATACAGGATTAAAATATAAATCATTAATAAACTTAATAACTAATGTGCCAATCAATTAAGCACTTACATTCACTTGTAGCAGGTATATTTATTGTCAAGAGCATGGGACAGAAAAAATCTGACTGCAGATGACATTGGAGCTTGTTACCATTTGCACTCTGGAAGGATACTATTATAACCACTAAACTACAGGAGGCTTGAGGTGAGCAAGGTCACTTAGTATTATGTCATCTCTTTAAGCTACCAATCTCTGTTACCATGGAAGAAAGTAGTTATCTTCCTTTTAATTTAATTGTTTTTGGTGGATATTATGCTATATCCTTATCTTTGAAGTTTCTTTTCTTTGTTAGATCATGTCTGTATATGTGTTTTCTCAGCTCCTTCCAAAATGTTAGTTTTTCAAATCTCTCTTGGAACCCCTTATGAAAATTTTATGTTTGTTCAATGGAATCAGCAGGTGTTATTTATAAAGCCACATTCAAAACATCACAACTGGATTCATAGTCTACAATCTCACCATCTGAATCATCAATTTGGAGTGGATATACATCTACATGTAGAAGACAAAACAAAATACTCACATTTAGCTCAGTGCATAGGTTTTAAGCATTCCATTGGTGTGAAAGCCAAGTTTTATTCATACTTTATATCGGGGGGTGAAGCATCAGTTAGCCTTTGGTATTTTTTTTCCTTTGGGTATAAATTGTGACTTTTTCCATCAGTAAGGGTGGTGTGTCTATTAAATGGAATGGTCCTCAGCAATTGATGTCTACGGTGGCTAATTTACGTTTTCAACCCAGTTATTAACACTAAATTACCTGCTATACTCTCCCATTACCCCTTTATTATTATTCAACTTCTGCTACATTAAAGGTGTCAAATAAATGATTTGGAAATCCTCGATTCTGCGTTGTTTCTTCAACTGTTTTTAGGCCTTTTCCCCCTTATTTTGCTGACTATCCTTTGCCTTGGTTATAACTGTAAGCGGCAACTGTGATTGACTGTTGTCATAAAAGCCGAGAAAGCTGTAGCGTTTCTGCTAAACGAGCTGTGGCGTCATGCTAAGGTCTTGTCATTTCGCGTTTGTGTCGTTTACAAGAAAGCTGCTTACTCTTAACTCAAACCATGGTGTTTTACTAAATGCGACTGCTATCTTCAAACTACGTTTCCTAGAATACTGTGAAGAATTGTACGTACCTTGCTAAGTCTTTCCCCGCTAAGGAAGGAAATGCGGCAGTCAGGTTGGTGCCGATGGCATCTGCGTCCTGGCTCTTTGAGAAAGAAATATCTCTTACTTTTCCCGTAGTCACCATTCGACCCAAATCAGCTTTGCTCGGTACAGCATTCAACCTTTTGTCTAAAAGGACAAAAGTTCTAGAAAGGGAACGAGTCGCGTGGCTCATGTTGACGATCTTGCCGATCTTGCCTGGTAAATCACAGGAGGACTAACAAAACAACCCAACGAGAAATCTGTGTCTGGCAACGCTCCGAAAGCGTGGGGTCAGTATGCGAGAATATAGAAAACTGATGCCACTTAATTAGTAACTTGAACGCCTTTTGTTATTTTCGGCGCGGCGTGTTTTAAAAGACAAAACTACAAAAGACTTTTATGGCAAGTAAGTGAATGAAGTCACTTATTAACTGTGCTGAAAACTGTAACAACTGTGCTGAAAACTGTCTTCAGGCAACTCTGCAAGCAGTCGTTCGCGTTATCTGGTCCTGAAATCGTACGAGCAATACGCTCGATGCATGATGCATCGGTAACCGGACGTTTCGCCTAACACCGCGGCCTACCGAAAAAAAGAACCCTCTACCCGTCTAAAATCATTACGTTCAGCCTTAAAGTTTTGATCTCCAGAAATGTTACAAGAATTTAGAGAACAAACTGTAATATAATCTCAACAAGCGCGCATTCCACAAGGTGCCTGTTCGCGGCTAGCCAGCTTGACTGTATTTTCCCCACCCAGAAGGAAGAGGAAATAGTAGACGGCTGCACACAGGCTAGTTCGCAGCCTACACACGACTTGTACTTTAAAGCGTCAAAAACAATGTTTCCCGATTTTCTCACGAAGGTGACAAGCCGTTCAACCAACTGAAAAAGTTCTACGTTTATTTCTGAATTTTTTATTTAACTACTTTATTAGAAGCTTGTCGAAAGGAAAGTGCGATCTTTTTTCCGCGTTTGTTTTTTTTTTTTAAATATCAGCTGCATTTAGAGTTTCGCGGAAGGACTTTGCCTTGTTCTCTTTGCTTTGTAACGTTAATGAATAAGTCAAAAGATGATGCAAAACAAGGTGTGATAACTTTGTCCTTTCCTTTGGAGCTATTGTTTTTCTGTTCCTCATTGTGTTGAGTTTTTTGTTCGGGTTTGCGTTCTTTGTTTTGTGACTTGTGAATTCCACAGGTCTCGCGCCGAAGACGAGCCCAAAAAAAGCTGCTACAACAGTTTCTTAGTTGAACTTCGCGCTCACTGTGAACTACGCTCTCGTAATTGAGAAGTCATGAATCTAAATGAATTTATAGATCTACAACGGGGTCCGCGTATGAACTTGATTCAGTGGCTACAACGGCGGTCTCTGTTGGCCGATACGCTTCGGTGTGCTCAATGTAACGAGGACATGGTACTGATACAGAGGAACGGCAATCATGTTGATGGGTACCTTTGGTAAGTCACTGAAGGGCATCTTTGAAAAATGCAAAAGGTCCGCGCAGTCTGTATTACCTCGCTCACTCTATTGTCCTCCTCCAATCTCTCATGATTGGTATTATGGCAAACTCTATCTGCAGAAGGTAATTTAGTGTTAACAACTGAGTTGAAAACGTAAATTGGCCGCCGTAAAGGGTAAAAAAGCTGACGTTTCGAGCGTTAGGCCTTCGTCAGAGCGATTGGAGTTCTGCAGAACTCTGTACAGTGAAACTGCAGTGTTACTTATAAAAATACCGCCATATACCTCCCACTCCTCCAACACGAATCGAATCGAGTGAGAAGGTCTGTTATGCCCGTATGCATTTCAAATTGCGTCTCTTTTTTTCCCTATTAATAGGCGCTGCAGCGGCTGTAAAAAGAAAAGAAGCTTGCGTACCAACAGTTTTTTCGAAGAGTTTCCCCGCGTGCCGCTGGGTACGCTGCTCCTTACAATCTACCATTTTGTCTCTGAAGATTCCCAGCGACAAACAGCGCGGAGATTAAACCTCAACCCAGGCCTGGTCTCAAAAATATACCGACGGCTGCAAGATGTGTGTTCAAGAGATCTGGACGAGAGGCCGTTCACACCATTTGGAGGACCAGGAGCCGCCGTTAAGTGTGACGAAAGCAAGTTTAATCACAAGGCTAAGGTAAGAATGCTAAATAGATGCCAAAAGCTCCAAGAAACACTGAAAAAAGCCGAGCATACCATTGCTAGTTTCTCGGGAATTTTAGAAGAAATCCTAGGTGGCTCAAAACAAATTCTACAAATTATGTCCTAAATACAGCTCAGCTCGTCGCACCAGTGTTAATGAGATAATTTTTTCCTTGGCAACCATGCAACACATTCACTCGGTCCTTTAAGTGGTCACAACCGTCATATTGAAAGAACAGGAATGTAAAATCGCCTCATTCTGCCATATATGTACGCATGAATATTCTTCAAAATATTTCGGGTAGAAAAATTCTGTCGGCCAGATTAAAAGCAAAAAAGATTTCCTGCGCCACCATTGCTTTCTACGGCTTTCTCATTTTTCCTTACCTACAGTAGTTAAAAAATGTGCCTACTGACTTTGATTTTCACCAAAAAATTAGAATACCTAACGAGCAGAAGCGAAAATATTCTAACATAGCAAAACTCAGAACGTTCGGCATGATTAGATTATCATTTGCGTCAGTGCGCGTCGACTGCATGCGCAAGATTTCATATGTAGCGCACGCACGTTATAATGCAGATTTGATCCTAATCTATTAGGCCGGGAGATGTTTGGCGACCAAACACGATCAAACATCGTTTGGTTACCAAACATTTTGATACTGTGTTTAGTGGCCTGACGGTGTCAAACATGTTTGAACAAGCCAAATGTTTTACAATATTTGATCAAATGCTTGTCGTCATTTAAATTTTATCAAATTCGATCAAACAAAGGTGTCGAAACGGGAAAAAGTTTGGCCACCGAGCAATGTTTGATCGCCAAACATTTCTCGTTTGGACGGGGTTTGACAAGCAGAATGGCGCGCGCGGCTGAAAACACTTTGGAGCCTCCTTAACCGTTAAGGTTAATGTGACATTGAAAAGTTTCGAAACTGATGACCCAAAACCTACTAAAGAATCCAGATAAGCAAGAAAGCAAGCAACCAAATGAAACTAGCATACCAAGGACGCGTACTTATTAAAACGAGGCAAAGTAAGCGAGTTAAATTATTACCTCAAGTAATCGGCAGTTAGATCATTGTTAAACGAAAATATCTGGACTCAAATAGTGTCTATTTCTGTCAGTTTATGAATGAGTACCAGTGAATGGCAAGGGTCTACTGCGATAGGCTAGCATTCCTTCCAGTGGGAGTAAAAGTACTCCGGGTTGTTTAACTGCCAGGCTAATGGGCCAATTGAATCAAACGCAAAGTAAAGCTAATCCCATTTTCATTTACCACAACGGTAAAGGAGGATGTTCAACCTTAATTTATTCTCATGTTTACCTAAAAATTTTTTGCCGCAGTAAGTTCATTCTGGTCACGGAAAAAGACGTGCAGTAACAAATCCGTACGTCTCTTTTTTAGTTCAACCGAGGAAGAAGAGCAGCCAGAGACGCGTGGGTATTTGGTATAGTCACTACCGAGTTTAGTCCAGCACGGGGTTACTTCCAGGTTGTAGAGAGACGGGATATCGCGACACTTGACCCCATAATCTCGAAGTGTATCCGACCAGGAACAGAAGTCTACACCGATGACTGGGCTTCATACAGAGGCATGGAACACCGTATAAATAACGTCGCCGTGCACCGAATCGTCGTGCATGCTCGACACTTTGTTGATCCTGTTACTGGTGTCCACACACAGGAGGTAGAGTCCTGCTGGAATAATCTTAAGTTAGGGCAAAAAATACGAAGAGGTATGAAAAAAGAAGATCTTCAATCATACCTCGACGAACAGATGTGGCGTCAATGGAGAGGGGGGCCTTACAGGCAAATTATGCAAAATTTTCTGGCAATGTTGCCCTCTCTGTATGCAGTTACCAACCCAGCACTTTAATTTGTTCGTTTTAAGGCCACGGGAATCACTTGGCCTTGAATAAATTCGCAAGCTAACATTTTTCGGATCAATACCAGTATCTGGGCAACTGCCCACCTACCCCTCCCCTAACTCAACAACAGTCAATTGATAACAAGTCAGGGTTAAATGTTGGGTTAAGGGAGGGGTAGGTGGGCAGTTTCCCAGATACTGATATTGATACCATTTTTCTTTTGCTACATCTTTCAAAACTTTTATATCTTGGCTACTTTCGATGCGACTGAGCTCAAATTTTACAGACATAGCAGACTGGTGGGAGTTTGTGGATGTCGTGTTTAGACAGATGATTTTATATGAAAACGATCAGCAAAACGGAAGCGGATTTTTTCAATTCAACGTTTGCCAAAAGTTATAATCGCTAAAATTTGCAAAATTTGACATCGGTCAGTGGTATAAAGCCTTGTAACTTTCCAAAAGCATTTTTTAGAATTACGTTTCTTTCACGGTCGACACACTAGCCTTTCAGCCTCCCTAGATTTCCGCCTTAGGATTTCATATACAATTTGAGTGTAGGTGGACCAAAAATAATGTAGGCGACATATTATGACTTGTTTTTAATTCGAACGAGATTCCTTATGTCAGATTTGATTTTATTACGTTTTCGCATCTTTCCTGTGACCAATGGGAAAGAAAAATGTCAAATCATATTACTAAAGACTGTGTTTGTTCATTTACATTTTTGAGTCTTCGCAAACTAATAAATTTGATTTTCATTGTCACTCAAAAAGCAATTTTCGCATAACTCAATCATGATATCCAGTGATCCAGCGGTAACTGTTAAATGTTTTACTTACGACTATTCCATGTTTAATAAAATCTAAAAAACCAAACGTAGCCCCCATGTACGTTTACAGAAGGTCATATCCAAAGCGCTGCTCCTCGATGGACGGCCGTAGGAGGAACTCCAAAAACGATTTGCATATGAATCGAAGATACCGCGGAATTCCAAAAGAAACGCCCTCCCCGAAAATAACTGTTCCCCGAAGTAACGTTAATTTTTTACCTTTCTATTGAACCCCGAAAGTAACCGTCCCCTCCGAAAGTAGCGGCCCTTTGAAGATTTACACTCGACTACAATAAATTGATATACGGTCAATTCAAAGATCACTGGACAACCCTGAAGTACTCCAAAGCTATACCAATATAACGTTATTGGTTTTAAGGCACATTATTCTTAAAAACAACATGATTTCAAATACGCACAGAGCTCCTGAAGCGGATTTAATAAGACATTTTTTTTTCAGACAGGCGTATGCTCAAATTTAGCCAAGATAACAAATATGAGAAAATTTGCACAGATCTATTTGAAGAAAGGATTATTTTACAAGAAAACGCTTTAAGATCAAAGTTTCTGAACTTGTTTGTCATTTCATGAAACCCTAGGTGGCTAAACGTCTCTACAGTTTAGTTTGCTACAGGTTCCGCTGAGTTTGTAGAAGTGCTTTTCCAGTCCAAAAACCCGTTGATGATAACATGATGTCTCTCTTGTGTCTGCCGCGGGCGTCTTATCTGCTACCTCCCATGCTCGAGGTGCTATAACAAGCCTTTTAGTATTGATCTTTAAATACAGTAGTAAGTATTAAGGATGACTAACCCTCCCCCAACCCTATCATATATCGGTGTTCCAAAACAATCCAACGGCGGCCATGTTGGTGTACCAAACCAATCCCGTGGGAGTTGAACTTTTTTCTTCAGTGAACACTTTCTTTAGTTCCAATAAATTTGTATGCAACGTGAGTGGTAACGCTCTATAAGATTTCAAGTAGGAGGCTTTCCTTGCGAGCTCAGACATCTCTTACAGAAACCAGAATAAAGTTATACAGGGAGAAAGTTTTTAGAGAAACTGTGGTGTTGCGTCGGTGGGAGAGTATAGCAGGTACTTTAGTGTTAACAACTGAGTTGAAAACGTAAATTAGCCACCGTAAAGGGTAAAAAAGCTGACGTTTCGAGCGTGAGCCCTTCGCCCTTCGCCCTGACGAGGGGCTAACGCTCGAAATGTTATCTTTTTTACCCTTTACGGTGACCAATTTACGTTTTCAACTCAGTTGTTAACGCAAAATTACCAGAATAAATTTAGCTCAGTGATTCAGGACAGAACACCTGCCATAGCTCCGGGTATCAGGTGCCTGATTTACTGAAAACACTGTTCAGTAAAAAAAAAAAAAAAAAAAGGGGGTTAGCTCTTGTCAATGTTAAAGTCTTTTTTCGTATGTCAAACTCCCTGATTTTAAAAGGTTTTTTTAAGCAAATTTTTCTCTTAACGTTTACAGCGTTTCAAAAAAGTTCTTCAAATTATTTCTCAAAACAGTTTGGCTATTCGTAATAAGTATAGTATTATTAGTATAAAATTCAAGAAATTTCATTTTCCCCCAGATAATTTAAAAATACAATGCATGTGCACGGTGAGGTTTAAAGCTGCAAGCTTGTGGGAACGTGTAGAAAATAAAGTAAACAAAAAAAAGAAAAAAATTGTCACCATGGAAACCATAGGACACATCCAGTCGGGCAGACTGGTGGGAGTTTGTGGATGTCGTGTTTAGACAGATGATTTTATATGAAAACGATCAGCAAAACGGAAGCGGATTTTTTCAATTCAACGTTTGCCAAAAGTTATAATCGCTAAAATTTGCAAAATTTGACATCGGTCAGTGGTATAAAGCCTTGTAACTTTCCAAAAGCATTTTTTAGAATTACGTTTCTTTCAAAGATTTCCGCCTTAGGATTTCATATACAATTTGAGTGTAGGTGGACCAAAAATAATGTAGGCGACATATTATGACTTGTTTTTAATGCGAACGAGATTCCTTATGTCAGATTTGATTTTATTACGTTTTCGCATCTTTCCTGTGAGCAATGGGAAAGAAAAATGTCAAATCATATTACAAAAGACTGTGTTTGTTCATTTACATTTTTGAGTCTTCGCAACTAATAAATTTGATTTTCATTGTCACTCAAAAAGCAATTTTCGCATAACTCAATCATGATATCCAGTGATCCAGCGGTAACTGTTAAATGTTTTACTTACGACTATTCCATGTTTAATAAAATCTCAAAAACCAAACGTAGCCCCCATTTACGTTTACAGAAGGTCATATCCAAAGCGCTGCTCCTCGATGGACGGCCGTAGGAGGAACTCCAAAAACGATTTGAATATGATCTAAGATACCGCGGAATTCCAAAAGAAACGTCCTCCGCGAAAATAACTGTTCCCCGAAGTAACGTTAATTTTTTACCTTTCTATTGAACCCCGAAAGTAACCGTCCCCTCCGAAAGTAGCGGCCCTTTGAAGATTTACACTCGACTACAATAAATTGATATACGGTCAATTCAAAGATCACTGGACAACCCTGAAGTACTCTAAAGCTATACCAATATAACGTTATTGGTTTTAAGGCACACTATTCTTAAAAACAACATGATTTCAAATACGCACAGAGCTCCTGAAGCGGATTTAATAAGACATTTTTTTTCAGACAGGCGTATGCTCAAATTTAGCCAAGATAACAAATATGAGAAAATTTGCACAGATCTATTTGAAGAAAGGATTATTTTACAAGAAAACGCTTTAAGATCAAAGTTTCTGAACTTGTTTGTCATTTCCTGAAACCCTAGGTGGCTAAACGTCTCTACAGTTTAGTTTGCTACAGGTTCCGCTGAGTTTGTAGAAGTGCTTTTCCAGTCCAAAAACCCGTTGATGATAACATGACGTCTCTTTTTTGTCTGCCGCGGGCGTCTTATCTGCTACCTCCCATGCTCGAGGTGCTATAAACACAACAAGAACAAGCCTTTTAGTATTGATATTTAAATACAGTAGTAAGTATTAAGTATGACTAACCCTCCCCCAACCCTATCATATATCGGTGTTCCAAAACAATCCAACGGCGGCCATGTTGGTGTACCAAACCAATCCCGTGGGAGTTGAACTTTTTTCTTCAGTGAACACTTTCTTTAGTTCCAATAAATTTGTATGCGACGTGAGTGGTAACGCTCTATAAGATTTCAAGTAGGAGGCTTTCCTTGCGAGCTCAGACATCTCTTACAGAAACCAGAATAAAGTTATACAGGGAGAAAGTTTTTAGAGAAACTGTGGTGTTGCGTCGGTGGGAGAGTATAGCAGGTACTTTAGTGTTAACAACTGAGTTGAAAACGTAAATTAGCCACCGTAAAGGGTAAAAAAGCTGACGTTTCGAGCGTGATCCCTTCGCCCTTCGCCCTTCGCCCTGACGAGGGGCTAACGCTCGAAATGTTATCTTTTTTACCCTTTACGGTGACCAATTTACGTTTTCAACTCAGTTGTTAACGCAAAATTACCAGAATAAATTTAGCTCGGTGATTCAGGACAGAACACCTGCGATAGCTCCGGGTATCAGGTGCCCGATTTACTGAAAACACTGTTCAGTAAAAAAAAAAAGAGGGTTAGCTCTTGTCAGTGTTAAAGTGTGAACAATATTAACCTTCAGGGACCGATTCGTATGTCAAACTCCCTGAAAAAGGTTAAGGTATTTTAAAAGGTTTTTTTTAAGCTAATTTTTCTCTTAACGGAGTTTACAGCGTTTCATTTTAAGATAGCTCAAAACAGATTGCCCTTTTTCGAGAAAAGTTCTTCAAATTATTTCTCAAAACAGTTTGGCTCTTCGTAATAAGTATAGTAGTAAACTATACTACTAGTATAAAATTCGGCACAGAAATAAAAGAAACACCATAACATCATTTTTCCCCAGATAATTTACAATACAATGCATGTGCACTACAATAAACCTTATTCAAACATGGTGAGGTTTAAAGCTGCAAGCTTGTGGGAACGTGTAGAAAATAAAGTAAACAAAAAAAAGAAAAAAATTGTCACCATGGAAACCATAGGACACATCCAGTCGTGCCTCCAAAATCGAAAACTAAATCAGTATTATGGTGGGACGGGAAAATATTTAGCTCGAAGTCATGACGTACGGACCGGACGCAACGAGGTCCGTGTCTCATGATCGAGAGCCAAATATTTTCCCGTCCGGCCCGGGCACACTCAGCTACACGAGCACAAAAAAGAAATTCTAAAATTTAAACTTTTCCTTTACATTTTTTTTTCAGAGGGCACGGTAACGAATCCTGCAGTCTGATTGGTTCTTTACCCGGTCAGTATTTTCTTATCTCTGCCCACGGGCCACGGTGACGCCTTCGTGAATCGCTGAGTACATCCCAAATTTCGTTGCCATTTTTATAAATATATCTCGCTTTTCCGTCTGGGTAGTATTTTTAGGCAGACACGTCGGTCACTACCTCAAGCCGATAAATAACTTATGAATCCTCTCTTTTCTCTCTCTCAAATCACTTTGGTTGACAGAAAAATATTGGTTTCAGAATGAATTTGTATAAGCAATAGTGTCATTACGTTGGTTGACAAGCGGCATAAAAACCTTCAGCAGTTAATTTAAATCGTTCACAAAAAGTACCTAAAAAGTTAAAACGTGAGGTATTTGATTACAGTTAAACTGAACGGTGGAATTTTCATTCATTTAATATCTGAATTTTCTCAAACAATTTGTTCGTAGCGAAAGAGCGAGCGAAGTTTTACATTCAGTTCTACAACAAATATACGCTCTCTGTGAGTCTTTCCGGGTCCGTTCAATTTGGACATTTGTACCGTAAATTGCACAACAGAAACTGAAGGAATTTATTGAGAGAATGGCGCATTAAATCCCCTTGGAGTGTGCCATTCGAATTTAGTTTTTGTGGAGGAAAGACCAGATTTACACACGACATTGCAGCAAACAAATGAGCAAACTCGCACAACTTCAAAATTTAAGAATTTGTTCATGCTGAGCGTGCGTATATCGAGTTATGGATACACGCGGAAAGTTTGGAGAGCACGAAAAATGCGTAAGAGTAGCTCGAGGCGCAGCCAAGAGCAACTCTAGCTTTTTGAGTGCTCTCCAAACTTCCCAAGTGCATCCATAACTCAACTGATATACGCACAGCTAAAAGCATGAGCAAATTCTTTTATAACTGAGCAACAACAAGAATCTGCGCGAAGAAACCTTTTATTGTGATAGAGTGCAATTGTGATTGTTCTGGTTTTGGTAAATTTCCAATGAACTGTGTATTTTATTCCCCAGGTTGAACAAATTTAAAAACGACGCCGGTAAAAAACGGAAATTTTACCTTTGAATGTCGTTTATGACCAATTGGTGACTATTTTTTATTCCCAGTGAATGTCTGTCTTTCGGCCAAAATTTGCTCCAGCTGGTCTTACGACAAATTTGCGAAACGTGCAACTTGGGAGTTTTTTTCGGCTTTATTTCTGTTGCTTGTTGGATCAAGACCCAAACGGTCAATGCCGATAGAAAAATTGGCCAGTTCTTCTCTGGTTTCTTCCATATTTCAAAGAGAAGGAAAACTGCACCGCAGCTTAACAGGATGGAAACTCTGAAGCCAGGTTAAAAAAAATGCTCACGTCATCTTATTTACGCACGGGCGTGCGTAAATAAGGATTTTGTTCATAGCGGCTCAATAGGACTAAAATAGGGCAAGCACCGGCGCTGTTATAGAAAAAATTTGAATTTACTCACAATTACCTTCCTCGCCGTTTACTTAATGAACAGAGGTAAATCTTCGTACATGAATGAATCGTCGATGACAGTGAATAATACTTTCCCTTAGGTCATTGAATGTTTTTGAAGGAAACATTGTCGTGACAGTCCTTGCCAAACTAGTTCCGTTGTTTTTCAAATGTTCTTACTTTTTTTTTGTTTCTTTTCTTACGCGCTCTCTTATTGACAGGTGTCAGACAGTGACAGATACTGGTAAAAATAATGTTTCAAAGTTTGTTTGGAAGCCTTTTAAATCACCTTTATCATTACGCAAATGAAAATGTTTCGGTAAGGCATCTCTCTTTAATTTGCATCACCTCTTTTTTAACTACCATTTACTCGTTAAAAAATTGTTCAGTTTATGGAAGATCTTGCCGTATTTACAGCCCTAAATCATTCGGGTTCTTTCGGAAAGAATTTCGTCAAGTTAAAAAAAAAATATGTTATTTACCGGCTAAGGGTTGATCCGTATGGTGAAAAACTGTGACCTCGGTCTTGAAAATGCTGCATGTACATCAAGACCTCGATCATAGTTTTTCACCGTACGAACCTTCCGGCCGGCAAACTGACATTTATTTATTTTTTCAAGTCATAACAAGAAACTCCCAATTTCTTGAAAAACGGCTTTTTCCTGACCGGCTTAAGTCAACCCGTCCGGCCCTGTACACGTCAGCTTTAACTGTGGTTTTCTAGGGGATTAGGCGAGCGGGGCCAGACGGGTCATACGATAATTACGAATATGCCTCAACTGCACGCGCGAGATTTGTATCACAAGTTGCCGGTTTTCATTGTCACGCCATCATCAAAACGTACAACAAATAAAGTCAAGAATCAAAAAGACATAAAATCCTGTAGCCGTCTTCAGCGGACTTATAATCATCTATATGAGTACTTATTCTCATACTAGGACTGTTCAGATCGCGAAATCTAAGCGGATGTCACTTTTTTTTAAACCTACGTGACAGCATTCTTGGCCGCCATTTTAATGTCGCTTCGCGCCAAAGCTTAGAAATTCAATCTTGCTTTCTCACAAGACGAAAAACCCTAACAAGCTGGAAATTTGTAAAAAGTAAGTCTTCAACAGTTCTTATAACTAACCGAACTAAAATCTCAAAGGGATTGATAATTCCTTATTTTCTAATTTTGAAGACGTGACGTGAAAACCAGATAAAGCGCGCTCGCGACTGAAACTATTCCTAGCCTTCAGCGTGGCATCCCCTCAGGACAGCCATCGATAATGGAGTGGGTTAATAATAACAATAGCAATCTTTCATCAGGAAAATTTCATTACATCACTGTGGTTTTCAGAAAGGTCCTAGGAGACTTGGCAAGAGACTTGGGAACCCCTTTAGAAGACGACCTAAATATGAAGGACTAAGCCGACTAGACAAAGCATCCCATTTACTTCACGACCTTACTGAACAATTCAGTGATAAGCGTACCAATTACCGCCGATACCAGAACCTAAACAAAGGAAATTAATTAATTAACCGCACAACGGAAATGTTGACCTTTAAAAGCTAATCATACTCTCGTTGTAATCTGAGGTTAATTGAGCAGCTTATACTATAAAGAAGGAAAATTTTAACTGTGACAGGCCGTCATCGAAGATCTCATATTCGGTAAAATGCCTCATCAAAAGGGATTGATAATTTCTTATTTTCTAATTTTGATGACGTCACGTGACTGAAACTCTTTCGAGCCTTTAGCGTGGTGTCCCCTCCGTGAATATGTCATTATTACAAAGGACAGACATCAATAATGGAGCAGGTTTAGGTAAGAGACTAAGGAACCCCTTAACGTGACGACCTAAATATGAAGGACTAAGCCGACTAGACAAAGCATCCCATTAAATTCACGACCTTAATGAAGATTTCAATAATAAGGGTACCAATTACCGCCAATACCAGAACCTAAACAAAGGAAATTAATTTATTAACCGCACAACGGAAATATTGACCTTTAAAAATCACACCGTTGTCATCAGAGGTTATTTGAGCAGCTTACACTGACAAGGAAACTTTATTACGACAGACCGTGATCGAAAATCCTTTAGTCCGTAACAATGTCTCATCAAAAGACCGAAGTGGTTTCCAAGTCCAACGAATTAACTTTTCTGAGGACAGTGGATTTGGAATGCTGTATTTGGTGAGTTGAATATCATTGCTGGCTGTCATATTTTGCCATCGTTTTTGTTACCGCTCATTTCCAGTGCTATTATACCGCCACATTCCTTTTCAGTTACAGCATCGTGTCAAGGCCCGTTACCCTTGCCTGTGGGCACTCTGGCTGCAAAAATTGCATGGAAACTTGGGCAGAATCGACAGCCACACCGTTGTGTCCCCAGTGTCGGGCAACGTTCCGAAAAGAAGAGCTGAGGTTAAATGTGGCAATGGATAAGGCGACCCGAGATTTGCCTGTTAAATGTAACAGCCAAGGCTGCCAGTGGAAGGGCAACTATAGCGATGCCAACGATCACCTCAGACATTGCCCAAAAGTACGAGAGAGGTGCCCCAACGAAGGATGCCAGCACGTGGCGGCACGGGAAGAAATGACAGCACACGCTTGCCCAAAAGAAAGGATCGCATGTTCAGGATGCCAACTGAGCGTAACCAGGGAAAGACTCCAATTCCACCGTACATCTTTATGCAGAAACTCTGCAGTTCTATGCCCCTTGAGATGTGGAGCATCATTACCACGGTATGTTGTATTAATTAGGATAATTCAGCATTGCGATATTTTGGTGTTAGGCGATTGTCATAAGTGAAGTATTTTTCGGTAATTTTTAGCATGAATTGCAGTATTGCTGTATTCTCTTATCATTTCAATCGTCAATAGCAGGTGACAAACTTATCCTTCTGTTATCCAAATCGAGGACTACGAGCAGTCCTAACTTGTGTCTGGTGCCACGCGATCAGCTGCATTCCTTAAAAATAACTGACAGAGAGGAATTAAATTTCATAAGCAAGAAACGATTTGAGAAACAGAAATAATGCCTATTTTTCAGTGGGGATCTAAGAGAGGGGCCTAGTGATACTTCCAATTACTTTAAGTCCCCCTGACCACCGCTCTCCCCAAAGCCCCAAAGTTTATATCAAGGTCAATTAATCTACAGAGCCAATTGGCGTGACCCTTGAGGTGTCATGTTTTTCCCACTTTTTTTTTTTCAAACCACTGTTGGAATATATGATACCAGCCAAAATGGAAGATCTAGAACTAACACATACCTCTTTTTGAATTGTAGAATGAACATCAACCTACATCTACACAAATGCCCAGAGAAGGCTTCAATGTGCCAAGTACCTGGCTGCAAAAAAATTGTAAAAAAGAAGGACATGAATGTCCATTTGAAGGAAGCAAGTACCTCGCATTTTGCGCTCCAATCAGGAGAAATCAAACGACTGCGAGGAATAATATACTACAAGGTAAGCTGCCTTTTCACCAACCTAAAAATCAATAAAACATGCACTCTTTTAAATGCCAAAACCAGCGAAGTAAGTGGAAAAAAGGATGGCAACTGTTGCATTTACCTTCAAAATCTTACATTGAAAATCTTTTTCTGGTGCATTTCATAATATCCATAAAATCCATTTCTGTTTTAGAAATGCAACATAGAACCCATAGAGCCCAAAGTGGAAAGGGTTGTCTCCTTTTGCTGGAGAATTCCAAATTTTGTGGAGAGCAGGAGACAACAAGCTTCAGATGCCATTGGAGACAAGCCCCTTACAAGTGGGCCATTTATAGATGACAACTGCAGATGGAGAGGACTGTACTCCGGACAACAAAAATTGTTCCTGCAGCTGCTCTCAGCATCCCATCCAGTTACTGGGGAAATTCAGTAAGAACTTTAATTATTTCATGCAGAGTGTTTGTGAGTGCACTTAAAGGAAAATGCTACCTTTGCCTTCTTTCATGTCCCAAGAGTGACCAACACTATTTTCATCACAAATCGAATTATACTAAACCAGGAGAAAAGGTTATGAGAATTTGTTCATAGATTGTCAAAGGGAAATTGATATTATGTTTGGAAAAAAACCACCTTTATAACTAAGGGGGCTTTAGAAGAAATGATGAATAACACTAAATTTGCTGTCTGTGTGTTGCATGAAAAAAACATTTCATTGTACCTCTTTGTGTATGACTGTGCCAGAACTTGCTAACGGCTGTGTTCAAAGCCGAACCCACCCATGTACTACTCCTGTTTAAGCTGAGAGACAATACGGATATCTGGCATAAAAATACACAATGATTGTTGAGTGGAACAATGTTATGATATGTAAATATATATTCTATTTTCTTTTTGAAGAATTGTAATGGCCCCTGGAAGTGACAATGAGCAAGTCCTAGACTCGGACATAGTGTCCCTGAAGGAAGGAGAAATGTGGGGTAGGAGGATACCAAATGTGGACAGTCTACTGGACGGAAATGGCAGCCTTGATGTTAAATTTATTATTTACTACTTCAACTTGTACTAATTTCATGAACAGGTCATAAAATGTTCAATTCAGTTATTAAAAAAAGTCAACTGGCATTTGTATTAACCTCTTACTTAACAGTCATAAATTTCTGGCTTATTTTTTTTGTCATGACTGCAAATTAAGAATATGGTTTTTGCAGTCTATAAAGAGGGCTAGGTCAGGCCGTTTAAAAACAATTACAGTAGCCCGCCACACTTTCTTAATTTCGTGAAATGTCGTCAATCAACCATGGTCTCTGATAATGCATATGTTCAGTATAGTTAATAATATTCTTCTTGATATTTGATTGCAAGGGATGAACATACATTACTTTTCAGACTTTTTTTTTGTCATATTCTCCAAAAGATTTTCATATTTCATTAGAGTTCTGTTCCTTTTCCTTGTTACAAAAGACGAATTAAAATAGAAACACGAAAGTGTATTGAGCTCATAAAATAAAAATAGAATGTGTGTATTGTTGCATGTTGTTATATATACTTTTTTGTGGGGTTTTTGGGGCTGGTAAAATGGAGGGAGACACTTTCTTATTACACAACTGAGATTTAAAATAACCGAGAAACGTACACTCCAGGATTGAGCTTAAGTTTGAAACTGAACAAAACGTTACTACAAACTATGAACCAGCAACTCGGAACACCCTCCCGTAAAGAGCCAATGCTCACCTTAGTGTCATTTCCTTCATCTCCTTAGCAGTATAAATCATTCTTTGCTCTTCTTCTGTCACTCTTCTTCTTTTTTTTCGAATTCGACCGAAAACATACTCCTAAAAAGTCCCGAATTCACGAACTAAACTCGACAAAGTTGCCAGAAACATGGCCACTCTCGCTCGTCCCATGCTCCCTCCCAAGTCTTGGTACCAGATTACCTCTCATTTGCTGAATGAAGATTAAACCGAGTTCGATATCAAATCGAGCTCATATGAAACCTATAGAATGCGAGGCAAACCGTGCTCGATAGAATACGTGGCAAACCGAGCTCGATAAAAATAACTGAGGTCGATAAGAGCAGATTGAGTTCGTCGAGCTCGTCTTTTTAATCGAGCACGATATAGTTGAATCGAGCTCGAATCGAATTGACTGCATTTCGAGCTCGTTGAACCGAGGTTGGTTTGAAATGGTACTCGAATTGCTATTCGAGTACGGTGAACATGAATCGAGCTCGGTTGCCCAGATACTAAATGTGGTCCAACCGAGGTTGGTTTGAAATGGTACTCGAATTGCTATTCGAGTACGGTGAACATGAATCGAGCTCGGTTGCCCAGATACTAAATGTGGTCCCAAACGACGTTTGATAATCGAGCTCGATAACTACAAGTCGAGCTCGATCGCTAATCGAGTACGATTACTAATCGAGCTCGATTACTAATCGAGCTCGATTATCGAGCTCGTTTATCGAGCTCGGTTACAGTACTGACGAGAAAGACTGGTGGAGAGTCCAACCTTATGGAGTGCGATGGAGTGTGCAAAAAAACCTCGATACCGACGGCGAAATGCTTCATAAGTTTTTTAGGAGATTCAGAGACAGGATTCATAGAGAGGATATGAAGTAAGTGGGGAGAATATTGAAAATAAATTTTCCCACGCTGCCGTTTTTGTTTAAGCGATTCTCTTCCCTAAGATCAGGACACCCTTTTTTTCGCTCGTGTGCGTTCCGGCTTTCTCTACGACAACTTGCATTTAGATATTACTTTGAACTTTTACTGTAACTTTTTAGAGGGTAATTAAAGAAAGGAAAAGACACGCATATGAAGCGGTAAAAAAAAACTGAATATCGTCGCACCTTTTTTCTGACTAATAACAGCGTCATCTATCGACACAACAACATTCGTATCGCACTCTAGTTTTAAAATGTTACTATTTTTTCTCCCTAAGAAAGGATTACGACTGAATCACCAATATTTTGAACTTTTCAATCAAGTTTTATTTTTGAACACTGTGATTGTTGTGCGTTAAATACTTCCAAGATCAAAGCCCCGACCACACTTTCGCAGGTGCTTTGAAAAACGTTATTTTTCTCTCACAATCCAAAAAGAGCTTTGCCTCTATCTATGAAAATGAATAAACTGGTTTTTTTCTTTTTTTTTTTTTTTTTTTTGCATTATCATAATTGTCATCTACGGCAAAAAAAAAAGAAATGCAGCTAGATGATGTGTATAGTAAAGCCCTTATCATCCCGTCAAAAAAAGTGTTACAAGAAAAATCAACATCGGGGAATTCGAAAAGGTCGGTTTTCATAATGAGTTAAAATTCAAGTTGAAATCGCATATTTTAAAAATACGTCGTTTCGTTAGAAAATCTTTCTGGACCAGTGTGGTCAGTAGACCTAACCTATGTAAAACCTATTCAACATAGTCATGGACAGAGCTTAATTGTTTATTTACCTGTCTCTCCCAAAACTGAAAGTAAAAACCGTAGCGTATTTACAAAACCGGATTATCAACTAGATATTGATTGGCTACAACGGCCAAAAAGTTCTGCATGGATTGCTGAGCGGTTCCCGCTCTCCACCGACGCCACATTTGCTCGTCGAGGTAGGACTGCAAGTCTTCCCTCCTTATCCTCCGGCGTGTTTTCTGGCCCAATTTTAAACTGTTCCAGCAGGATTCGATTTCTTGGGTGTCAACCCCATAGTGACTGGGTCAACGAAGTTGAGTCGGTGGACAATCATTTGATGTGCACTTATGTTGTTAATTCTTTGGTCCGTCTGCCGGTAGGAGGCCAAGTCATCCGAGTGCACTTCGGTTCCAGGGAGAACACACCTTGAAATGATGGGATGGAGGGTGGCCATATCTCGTCTTTCCACTTCATCGAAGTAGCTTTTTGCAGGTAAATGTTGCGTCGTAACAATCCCAAAAACCCATGTGTACCTTTGTGCACGTCTTCCCCAGTTGTTCTGAAATAATGAAAAAATATATATATTTCAGATGGATGATTTTTGTCCCATTAATATTTTGCTTTAGGCTTTATCCCAGCTATGTGTAATTATCATTCACCTGTATGAAATAATTTTGATATTAAAGCGCCCTGAGTGCTTTTTGTTGTCACATTCCCACCTACTTCGGCTTGCGAACCACATGTTCCAGAAAATTAAGGAACAGTAAGGTTATGAAAATATTTATATCTCAAAAATATTGAAATGATTGGAGGTGAACATTTGCCTAGTATATACTATATCAGTAATATAATATGGCACAAAAAGGTGATTTTTTTAAACTCATTTATTCCTGCTATAAATGGTTGCCATAATTTTTGTGTGCCAATAGTGGGCAAGTTGCTCGGAGGCGATTAGCAAAGGATGTTCAAAGTTTGAGTGCAGGCCGAGTGCAGGCGATCTACGACGCTATTTCCCGTGTTAGTATATACTTGAAAAAATAGTGATTTTTAGCTTTGATTAGTTGTTGAATTTACTCTCGTCGCATCTTACACCAGTCCAAAGGGCGTGATTGGCCTGTCCTGAAGGTTTCTTGGGCAGCCATCCTGTAAGCGCCTACTAATTTTTCTTATCAAGCTTGTATTTAAATCCAGGTACCTGGAAATTCGTCGCTGGGAGTCCTCAGCAGAGAAGAAATAAACCTTCTGCAGGAGTTTACCAAGTGGCACTCTGGGGAACTCCTCGAAAAAACTGTTTGATCTCACACTTCTTCTTTTTATGCATCCTCAGCAGCGCCTGTACAGTATTGTTAAGGAAAGACCCTTTATCGTTTTTGAACAAATTAAAATGGCCGGTTTAAGCATTCTTCTCCACTGAATATATAGACGCGTATAGATGCGACTTTTATGGTGGATGCTCTTGCTTCTAGAAGTTTTGAATTAACATCAAAGAGGTCTCCTACATCGAATGGGAAAAGTGCGTTCTAAAACACCTTAAGTACGTCGATAATTATTATTGTAACCCACGGTACTTTTAGTGTTGTTTTGAGGTTTTTTTTTCTTAAGTCGGTGTATTTATCACGTAGCAGTCAAGTAAAAATCCAAATTGTGCTATGAACACTTGCAACTTATATGACAGTTTTATGTAGCGGCATGCAGACGCATGTAAAAGTTGTTACTATATAAGTTGAAAAGGAGATAGATTAAAGGACGTTTGTGCCAATGCACACGCCCGATGAAAGAGGGACTAAAGCTAGTAATCGATAGCAAGTTCCCTTATAGGTTATCTCCGAAAAGCGCCTTTTCCCCGTTGTTGTTCTTCAATTAAATACGAAATACATTTATGTCAGCCCCGCGCGTTAAGATGGTAGCTGCGTTAAAAAAAAAAAAAAAAAAAAAAAAAGATGACGTTTATTTAAAATTGACCGTGCCCACTAAAAAGGAGAAGTTGCAATATTTGTGCGCACAAACTAAAAATAATTCATTATAATTGAAATGGAAATGCGAATTTTGGGCATATACTCAGTTCTTTAAGCGGAGAGGAATTGTACAAAATAATTACTTTACTATCTCGTGCGGTAAAAAAACGATACCTTCGTTCACAATTTAAAGCTTGCCATCTTTGGATAACGCCTTCATTTTAATCTCTTCAATAGGCCAAGGTGATTACCGAATTAGTCCCATTTTAAGTGTGGGTTGGATTTTTATGGAGTTTAAACGATGACGCGTTAACTTCGTGCCGTTGCAACAGTGTTCGGCAACCGGCCTACCGGCGTTGATTGAGGTTGAACTTGCAAAAAGAAATAATAAATGAACAACAGTAATAAAAAGATGTACCAAATAGTGGAGGGTTCCAATGGGGTGATGGCTGGTAAGTTTAAAGGATAAAATTGTGGCCACTTTACGGCTAACGGTTAGGTTTTTTTCCCTTACGGTGGTTACCAAAAATATATTTACTATTAACGTTTTTGACCACTACCGTTTAAAACTTT